CATAAATTTTCACGTAGATTAATAAATATATTATTATATATATATACGTGCGCGCGCACACATCGCAAACTCGGCCAATTCGCAAACGTTTCTCGGTTTAAATCGTGTGACGTTTGAATAACATACGTACACCCTATACGTATATTCTCTATGTATATCCTCCCCGATATTTTATTACGCACAGTCACAAAGTTGCTTCTGTAGCTAAGTTGTAGCACGGCGCTATGGTATCGATCGCGTTTTACTACACCAAGTGCCTGATCTTATCTGTGAATTATTGTATGAATTCTTACACACATACTGTGTTCTCCAGATAGCATTTGTAATTTCTCCTTGCCGTTATTTGTTCGCAATTCTCCCCTTTAATGGCGTTTGTAAATAAATGATTGTTTTCCGAAATTCCGAGGCGTCTACACAACACGCGCGCGCGCGCGCGACACGCGTGTCCGTTTTCGACGCCTAAAGAAGATGATTTTACTTGTCCGATACGCGTATATCTGCGTGTAAGTTTTAAGTTTCGAGCAAGCTGCGGGCAATCTATCGAATCAACTTGCGACATTGATCACTCGTCATCAATCGATCGAAGTGGACGTTCTATCGCGCAAAATGAAAAAAAAAAATCTTACACGACGCGCACAATATGTTGTACTGCGAGAAAATTATGTGCGCACACAGATGTGAATAGCAAAATCCCTTAGAGATATTATTTCACGTTGTGAAATTTGTCACACACGTGATATAGATGTAATGAAAACTCAGTATTTAAATCGCAGATTTTAGAGTAAGAAGTTGGGAGCAAATTACATTTAAAACCCGCGGAGATCAAGTTGACACACACGCACGCACACGCACGCACACGCACACGCACCCACAGAATTAACTAAACTAAAACACTCTCTCTCTGGAAAAAAATAAAAAATAAAAAATACTCTCTGAAAAAAAAAAATAAAAAAGTTCGCGGATGATCGGGAAAGAGGATATATATTTGAAAAAGCGCTGAATAAAGCTCTATCGGTTCGATATATATTCATTCTAATTTTAGAAAACATATCAGTTTCGGAATACATATTATGAGAATTTGTAGTAAAAAAATGAATTTCGAAAAGACTGCAGAAAAGTGAGATAAAAAATATATTGAATTCGAGTCAATATACAAATATCGTAATTTTTGCGTAAATTAATTGTTCGGATCATTTAATTTACGTATTGTATACGTATGTATATTTTTTTACATTTTTGTTGTGCGACATCGAAACGCGGTGTGTCATCACCCGGTTCGGTCTCGAACCGCCCGACGGGATACATTATCGTGCCGAATAATTTGCCGCCGGTGTTCACGGAAAACGTTTTACACACATCGGCGTTTTTAAATAACATTCGTCCTCATTTGTCGCGCGACGAACTATACCCTATCGGCTTGGGTTTGATCGCTGGCTCGCAATCGCCCCGATTCTTTGTGCCTTAAAGAACTGGTATTTTTCGCGTCCAGGGCTGCGTCGACTCTCCGCGCGCTGTGTTATATACCGACGTCTCTCTCATTCCAAGTATATATCCACTTTGGTCATCAGAGAGACCGTACACGTCTGTCTATGCGCTGCGCGGTCTTCTTACACCTGTCCCACACGCTCGGGAATGTAATTTCGTGGAGGGTGAAACGCGGGATAAAGATATTGACGTCTCTGGCAAAGTCACGTCCGCCAATCGTCGATACATCGTTTACGTGATGTGACTTTTATCGACGCTCCCCCAAGCCAGATTTTCCCCTAAATCGTGCCTTCTCCGGGCTTCTCCTCTTCTAATCTTCGGTTAATCCCGCGAGTGATGTTTTCGCATCATGTTTTCTGAATTTCTCAATTAGAACTGAGCGAACACAAGCATAGCGAAAAGTAAACGATCGATTGAAAGAGAAACCTCTCCGTGTGTTTGATCATTTTACATTATTTATAATAAAAAAACGTTATTGAATGTGTGCGGTTCGGAATAAAAAAAAAAATCCCGCGATGCTTACGTGGAAGCAAGCCAGATAAAACGAAAGGTGTAATTTTTAAAGTGTTAAAAAACGTTGCGCGCGCTCGCGGCACGGGTGTAGCGTTTTATTATTCGAGTGGCCCGTGCCCGATCACATTTTTACGACGTGCATTTATATATATATATATATACACACACACACACACATTCGCGAGAGCTATTTTTGAATTTAAAAAAAAACGAAAAAAAACGAAACCGCCTTTGAAACCGAAAGCAATAGAACCGTGTCTGTGTGTGTGTACGATCCGCGTGTAAAAACAATTTAATCGTGTGTGTACAAATCGAAAAAAAAAAAAAAAAAAAGAACGAGCGTACAGATGTGGTCGCGTTATTATTCAAAAATGGGAATAGCTCGCGTGAATAAATTTTCTTCTCGTAACGCGACGCGTTAGGAGAGATTAGACGCGAACGTCGCGTTGTGCAGCCCTGCAAGTTGAAAGCCAGCCCTCGTTGATTCGACCCCGACCAGACTATACACCACGTGTCGGCGATACATAGTTGCATTCACACAGACAGACACACACACACACATACACGTACACGTATATTACACGGAATGCTCGCGTGTTGCAATATTCAACGCTGTTGACTCGAAATAAGAAAGCAAGAAAAGCAGCGCGAGGCTCGCAGTCAGATCGATCAGCCAAATGTCCCTTCTCCTCCCGCGCAAGAAAACCCAATCGCACACACGAAGAGCGCGCGATTCCACCCACTCTCGAAGGAACAATCCACTCGCGTTCTTCTCAAACTGAGCTCGAGCCTTTCTCTGTTCTCCTCTGTGAAAAAAAAAAAAAAAAAAAGAAAATATCCAATACGACCGTATCTGACATAAAGTCTTATAAATTGCCTGTCACGGCAATTCGCGTTAAATTTCGTATAGGAGCGCTGAAGAAAAAAACAACAACCTCTGTTACGCGAACTCGGTACGAAGGTGAATTTTCGTTCGCGATCGAACGCGAAGGCGTTGTCTACAATACAGTCGTAAGACGTAAGAAATTGACCAATCACAATTGATTATTCTTTCGTGATTTGTCTGTGATTGGTCAATTTCTTACGGGTTACGGCTTACGACTGTATGTGTAAACGACACCGAAAGGAGAAGAACTCCGAAATTGTGGGAGACCGAAGGTAGAGGCCAAGCGTACCGTAAAACGGGATGTATATTATAAGCGCAAACGGCATTGGCCATGTTGGAGGCAAAACGAGATAAAAAGCCGCGCGCGATCATCGATTGTAGCACGTCACAGTCGTTTTCCCTGTCAGAATCGTGTAAATCATCATCACATAAAACGTTAAAATGATCAGAAATGGAGAGGGGAAGGGGGAAGGAGAGAGTGAGAGAGTGTGAGAGTATGAGAGAGTTGATCTCGACGAGAAATAAAATGCATATCGGCGGCGGGTACAATGAGCACGCGCGCACAACAGTTTCTTTCTTTTTTTTTTTTTTTTAAGAAGAAGAGACGCGAATAAGCGAGAGAACGCGCGAATTCCGCGCATGACGATTGCCGCGTCAACAATGTGACTTTGTCTTTTGCGGCGCCCACTCTCTTTTCGCGAGACGGCCACCAGGTGAATGTTATTAGCATAATTCACACAACCGTGTTTGTGCGGTTTATCATCGCTTTTCGCTTCACGTTTGACCAGATCGGTCGATCGTGTAATTTCACATTGAAAAAACACATAGTTTTCATTCCTATTGCGCTCTTATCGGTCCTCTGTGCGGATCTCTGCTCACAAAAAAATTCTATTCACGCAGGAGCCAATAAGAAAGAAAACAACTTTTGATTTTTCGCGTTTCCGCACATACACACACACACGTTGTAGATAAAAAAAATATTATACAATCGACTCCCCCATGTATAATACAGGAGGATCGCCAGACGTCCAGATTTTCGCGAAATAGTCCCGCATCTCCCCTCTGACGCACGACTTTTTATTTCTCGCTTTTTTATATCGAGTGTCCCACTTCGAGAGGTCTGACGCAAGTCAGACCATCTCTCGTCTAGCACACGCCAACACCGTCGCAACCACTGTGTGTGGTAAATAAATAAATATCGATTATACATTTGCCTACTCATTACAAACGTCGGAATTTATTCCGCTTGCATATTTATGAGTGTTTTATTTGTTGATATTTTATTTGTCGATATGTGTGATTGGCGCGGATTCATCGTTCGAAGTAGATGTGTGTTTGTATGTGTGTGTGTGCGTGTGTGTGCGCGCGCGCGCGCGAATTCAGCGACTCGTTTCGCGAGAATATTGTAAACGCTTGAAAAATAAAAAAAAAATAAATAAAAAACACTTTCGATTTCGAAATTCTGAAAGAGATCTGGCGATCCCGCGAATCGGGTGGGGGGCCTACTATCGTTGCCCCCGTCTCCCCACGCGAAGCGTTTTCCGTTGGTTCCGCTGTTGTTTGCGAGAAGTGGAAGTTCTGCAGATTTTCTAATACCAGATTTTCTAACACGCAACGTAGTATGTATATATATATATATATATCGGTTACTTAATAACGGGATGTGCATGTTGAGCGGGTACAAATTGAGTCACACCCGAACTTTCTCTCGCTACCTCCCGTTTGTGGGGTGGTGGCGGTTGGAAAATCCGATAATTTCGATGCAACTGCGGAAGAGTTTCAGATATTCTCAAATAATCAATAATATATATATATATATATATATATATATATATATATATATATATATATATATATATATATGTATATACGAGAGACTATTATGCACGAATTTACTAGATAATTCTCTCTCCGCGAGAATATCGGACTCGTGCGAGAGATGTGCGTTCGTTCGTTTTTTTCTTTTTTTTTCGCATTGAAGAAATATCCGAAAATGCGTTAAAAAAACTCGAGCGAATCTTGAATTCTTTATCGGATATTTTAAATCGTTTGAAAACAATATATATATCCGTCAGTGTTTTTATTGAGTGTCGCTTATACGAAACTTTATCTGTCTCTCAGTTTCGGAATATTTGACAAAAACTTTGAGAGAAATTTCAAGCTCGAGTTTGCAGAGAGAAAGAGAGAGAGAGAGAGCGCGAGTTTGGCTACTTCAACTTACTTCTTTACTTTTTCACTCACTGTGTGTCGGAGGTGTGTGTTTTCGTTTCTCCGCGTACTGTTACTTTTCTTCGCTTTGAAAAACTTTGCTTTGTTCCAATTCGATCTTTCTTGAGACGTTCCGTCTCACTACTTACACCGGTACGTGGTGATGTTATATATCGCTCGAGACGACGATGTAAATACAACGACGAACGTCCGAACAGTTTTTCGGGAACACCGTAGCCACAATCGGAAGCGGCGGGGTGTTTAATCCGCTCGAGAACAAATCCGTCGAACGACTTTGACATTTTGGAATCGTGACATTTTTTTGTTTTTTCGTACATCTTTCGATTTTATTTTACACGCGATTGACATTTGAGAGAAATTGACTGTTAGAAAAAATTAATTACATATGTATTAAATTGGTTTTGTTTCTTTTATGCGCGATCGATTCATCCAACTGTGGCCTCAGAACTCCAACGGATTAAACGCTCCGCGGATACATCCTCCGTGATTGTATCGAGTAGAGTATTTAGAACAGAAACGTGCCCCCTCGCACCGCAGTGATCGGAGAACACGCGTAATCACGTACACAATTTGCATACACGTTCGTTGCGCGCGCGTTTACCCCCTCTCTTTAAAAACGCTTTACTCCAGAGCCTTTTGACTTTACGTAGATAGAAATGCGATACGATGATTTCGAATTCGATGTACGACGTGTGATCGACGAGGCTGATAAGGTAAACAAAACCCGCAGAATTCACCTGTTTCGTCGTCGAGTTTTTTGTCTCCATTTATAAATTATCGCTCTAGTCCTTGTTATTTTTAAACGTTGCCATTATATTACAAGTTCATGATTATTATACACATATAAATACTTATGCGAAGTAAGCTAATTATAAGAGAAAGACTTAACGCAATCACTTACACACACACATACACACACACACACACACATATTCACACAAGAGACAAAACGGCGTGCGCATGTTTCTTCTTTAGAAGAGCAATTTCGAGGCGATGTTGTCATCATCGTCGATACATTATATTATATTGTACCGAACATTATAATTTATTCTTGTAACGTCATTATATAATATCGTTATCGCTGACGGTCGCCGTTACGATCGTCGATTCGCGTCTTCCGCAGCGAAAAAGAAAAAAAAATTCATCGTCACACGCGTCTCGCCGCTAATTCCAACGTCGAACGACGAAACGAAGACATCAACGCGCGTCTCTCCGTTCTCTCCCATAAATTACAAAATTCCACACGCTGCGTCGACGATCGCGGCCGACGGTCGTGACGAGCGATCGCGTCAGAAAATAAAAGAAGCGGGACACAAAGGCGAATTATATATATATCTATCACTGTATCGAGAGTTGTGCGCTGCGTTTACGATTTAAGCTAGTTCATTTGTAAATAAAAACTATTTGACTCTTTGACGTTCCGCGGTATATTCGTTTTTCTTCCTTCCCTCCCCCTCCCACCTCCGTTCTCTAATTAATTTTTACATCAAGTTTTATTTCGAGAATATTTTTCCATCATGTTGTTGCAGAATTCTGTTTTAAGTATCAAAGGCGCTTAAAACAGTGAGATAAATAAATATATTTGGTACAAGCAAACAACAAACGTAACGAACAAAATCTTAAAAAAATATATGTATATATACGTTTTACGCGATCAATAAATATTTTTTGTTATTAGATATTCTAAGAATAACATTCTTTTTAATTTCTTTCTTGAACGCGCGTGGATATTCAGGCCACGCAGGCTAACTGCTGATACGTGATACACATTCCGGTATTGTCTTCCAATGTGCCGCTCGTGTTACCGCTCCGACCGAATGCCACCCTTATGCGGAAGGGTGTAGTCCAAGTTTCCACTCGGCAGTTACCCTCCGCATCAAGTTCGTTTTGAGTGCACAGCGAATTGCCGCAATGCTCCAGATTGCAGATGCCTGCCATGTTATTTCCCGGCTGGAACAAACGTTAACTTGCCGCTGCAGTGTGTATTTTAACACAAAAACAAACGTGGAAAACGTGAAAATATTATGTATCTCCATTTCAATTGAAATAAATTTAAAATTTTATATTGAACATGTTTAAAATTCAACATAACAAAATCACATTAAAAAATTTAAAAAAATTGAACGCACTGTGATAAATTCCTCGAAGTCGCAAGGAATGAGAATCCTGTCTCTGCACTGCCTCTGAAAAGGAAGCGCCGGATTCGTCGCGTCGTAAGCGGAGATTATTTCCTGTTCAGGCGATCCCGCTCCCGAGCCTTCGACAACGTCGACGTCGGAACTGTTCTGCGCTGCGCCAGAAGCCGTCATATTGACAGCCGAGACGTTTCCGGCGTTCGTTGTCGCGTTCGTACTCGGGCTCGACGATTCTGGCAACCTATTGGGTCCCAACCGAAAAGAGTCTCGCGTGCAGGGCTGATAAGCGATGCCGCACATGTCCCGTTCCTGACGCACGCACAATAGGTAATCGTGTCCCGCAAGATATCTGCCGTTCGGCAGATAATTGAATGTTCTTAGCGTGCCGTTGATCGTGCGAAAGTATTGAAGACAGCCAACGGGCGCGCGTTGCTCGAAGCCCAGCTGCGCCACGCGCATCTCCCACATTCGTGACTGCAGTCCGCCCGGCAGCCGGAAGTTCAAAGTTATTGGTTCGTTGCCTTCGCTCACGTCCACATACACTGTTCGGAAGACATTTAGGGGATGCCATTTAAATTGCCATTTAAATTGCTCGGGAAGATAGATACATCGAATAGATATACGCCGAAGTTACCGATGCGTTTTTGCGCACATTTTGCGCACGAGTCTCTCAATCCAATTACTTTTTATTTAATCATATTAAAAAAACCAATCTGTTAGCTTACGCAATTCAACCGCTTGTTCAACCGTTTAACACGAGAGAGCGACCGGTAACTCGTGAAATTGTACATTTGTGAATGCGGACGCATCGGAAACGATTAACGATGCACCATCTGCCGCGCGGAAGGTTTTCGCGCCAACAATTTTAATGACGGAGATTTTGCACAAAATTATATGTACATAAATTATACAAGGCGCGCAATAAAGCGATTATCCAAACGGTTATCCAAATGAGATTCCCTCACCGTGCTGTCCGCTATTCCACCCACACAGCTCGAAAGTCGTCCTGCCGTTGTTAATCACCATGACGTCCCCGTCGCACACGCCAGTCATCGCGTTCGGTTGACCCTAAAAATAAAGTTTTTAAAGTTGTGTGAACACCTCTCTGTGTTCTTTTTTTTAGTCGTTTTTTTTTTTTTTTTTCATCAATTTCCGAATGTGACGGTTCAAGAAATGGACGCATTTTGTCGAGGCGAAAAAAAAAAAAAAAATACGAGCCTCGTTCGCGCCGTCGTGTCAGGTACGTCGACATGGTCAACTTGCGGAATATTACATGCGCCGAGCGACAATCGCGAATCGACAGTTGCAATTGGCCTATTCCCCGACTAACAGAGCAGCAATACGTTATCCCTGAAACTTACAATGTTGAAATGGACAAAGTCGATCCTCAGCTGGCTGACCTCCGTATCGATCTTCCGCACGACCACCGAGCAGTTCATAGGCCGGTCGATGAGGTTGGGAAAACCAGGACTGGTCACGTAGGTCAGATTATTTTGTACCTCATTGTCGCAGCTTGCCGTGACTGAAAACCATAGTATTGTAATATCACTGACACGGTTAGCGAAAATATTTTTCTCTCTCTAACGACGGCACGGACGCCGTCGCCGTCGCCGCGCGTTGCGTTCCTCTGCCCCCGCGCGCGCGTTTTGGAATATTTAATTAACTCTGCGGAAACACAATCGATACGATATCACGTGTGTACAATTCCACGAAATTACATTCTCCCGGGGGCGGAAAATAACGCGCGATGCTCGTTTGTAATTGAAAGTATTATAAAAAAATTGGTTGAAAATGAAAAAAACAACAATCGCGACGCGGCGGAGTAATGAATTTTTGCGCGTTTAAAAGTTGCTCTGATGAACGAAAATAAACACGTCCTTCCGCAAGTTAAAAGCGAAAAGTTTGGACGTCATAGTTCGACGCCGACTTTTCCAAGATGTATTCGGAACAAACTTTTTTTTGCCTCTTTTTTCATTTTTTGCATATTTTACACGGTCTTTCGATGTTTGACGTAAATTATTCGAAACAGTTGGATCCGTGGGATCTAGATTTTCAAAGTACGCGCGGATCACGACAATTGTTGTGTGACAGGAAGAAAAATAAGAATCTCGTCTCGGGAAATTTTTCTCGTGGAAGTATCTCGTTTGAAATTCACGCGGACGCGGATTAAATGCCAGGACGTTCTTTTGCGAAGTATCGCCGCTGCCGTAGGCGCGATATTCTCTCACGAAAAGAAGCGCACAGCCTCCGGCTTCGATAACGAGTTCTCATTCAGGTATTCAGTGACCGTTTTAGTATCTCGGAACGCTATTCAATGGGCCGACGGGCTAGAAGAAACGGTTACTGCCTCCGCGCGCGGATTCTTATATACCTCCTCCTCCGTAGCGGGAAAGCAACTTAGGTGGACAATATAAAAAATGTATGAACGGCTTGATGCACAAGCGGAATGCAACAGCTCAGCGCTCGCCAGCGGGATAACATGCGGCGACGTGCATTCAGAGCGATTCAACGAAAGAGGCACGAAAAGAGAAACAGGCGGATTGTAGCTTTGTTTTTGTTTTTTTTTTTTTTTTATTTATTATAGTATGAGAGCTCGCAAAAATAATGTAAATACGTACGTTTATTCTACGTGCAAATATAAAGTAAATATAAATAAACATAAGTTTTTATTTTAACGTTATATAATTTTTTGTTTTATTTTCTATTATTTTTATGTTTTGTTTTTATTATTATTTTTTATATTATTTCTATCTTTTTTATCTTATTTTACAATATTTTATCAAATATATAATGTTATTTTTTTTAAATAAAAGCCACACACATTTATTTGACCGTGAGAAGCGTCGGGGATTAATCTCGCCCGTTTCGTCGTTCGTATTAATTCGCTCGCAATTACGTAAACTCTCCGTTACATTTCGCGCGCGTTAAATTGTCGCGTTGTCAAATTAAGCGAGCGCATTTTACGTGTATGTTTCGCGATAAAAGTCGGACAATAACGTAAGACATCGAGTAACACTTGTGCACGGCGAGAAGTCGTATTCGAGATATCGGTCAAGAATCCGCGTCCGCGCGCGCGCTGTATATGGCCCTGTTTTCGACTGTTTGCAACTGCAGCGACGAATATCGCGAGGCAGGAAAAAGCGAGTGGATGCGGACCGAAGTAAAAAGCAACACAAACAGCAATTTGGACGGGGGAAAACTTCAACAGAACAAAGACGGAGAGATATATATGTATATATACATATATATATATATATATATGTATATATAGAAGCGACTTTCTCGGCAATAAGAATTTTTCCGCGTCGAGAGATAGGTTTCAGAAGAAGCGGCATGAGACTGAAAGACGGCAAGACTCGTTTCTGAAGAAAAAAAGAAAAATTTAATCAAGCTTCGAGAAAATATATCTTGAGAAAATATTGTTCTCTTCATAAAACTTTTTATATCGCGCTTCAATTTGGTTTCATCTCTTCGTAGAAACTTTATCGTTCCTATATAACTCCGTATAACGAAGCGTCTCTTTCTTTTCTCGAGAGATTATTAAGTACATAAACTATTATAACATTAAATTAAGAATGGTTTAAAACAAAATGATCGGACGCTAGACTTACATTTCTGTGTCCTTCTCCTAAAATATTTCGGTCGTAATTATTCATTAAAATGTAAAGAAAAAGGGATACGCGCTACTCGGCGCGTATATTCACCTAAGCAAAAACCTAATGCGCGGCGGTTAATTTGCGAAGCGATTAAGATTAACATCGAAGTTAAAGCGCTTTAACGAACGAAATTTTAGACTCGGATGCAGTTTTATCCACTTTTTTTTATACATATATATATATAAAATGAAATCTCGCGAAATGCGATATCACACGCTCGAATATTCCCCCGAGAAATTGACCGCTGCGAAATATTTTGTAAATATCGCGCACCCGTTGCCACGATCCGTTAAAGAGAACGAATTCTCTTCGTGAATAAATTCACCGAAATGAATTTTGTCGCGTTGAAAGCGTCGAGGAAACTAAACGTAACGCTTGTAAGAGTCGAGAAGGAACTAAACGTAACGCTCGCGATGCCACTCGCGGCTTCCAAAAGCGCGTAAACAAAACGTAAAGAGGCTCCTCCGTACAAGTTCCTCCTCCGTAAGATTCTCTGTGCCGAAAGGCAATTAAATAACTGTATAAGCCGGCCCGCCGAGTTTCTTTCTCGGCGTATACCGTTTCTTCTTTTTTTTTCCTTCTTTTTCCTTCATTCTTCGGATGCTCCCTTTCACGAGGAGAACGCGCTACACGCTCAAGATCGCGCCTCGGAACTACGCCCAGGTTTATCTCTCGATACCGTTAAACCTGGCAGAAGAAGCGCCGATCGATTTGGCATCGATGATGCGAGCGTGCGAATCCGCAAAGACCTATTTTTAGACGCTAAAAATAAGCGCGCGTGCCTGACTAAAAGTATGTCTTTTGTACGTATTTTTGGATCGAACGTGCGCTCTCCGGCAAAATGAAAAAGAGACACACGTGTGAAAAAAATGAATCAATTAATCCATTCAAAGAGAACGCGGCCGGTCGGAACGAGTCTTCGATCCTGTTCGAAGAGAGAAAAAGATGAGATTGTATTTCTCTCACACGATTTGGAACGATTCGACGCGATTTTCTGTCGGAGTTCGGTTCGAAGATATCGTTTCGCGATGATGTTGAAGAGCTCGCGAGGAGGAGACAAATTTGCGCTCACATATGCAGCACACGCCGAGTCCGAGTGCGCACGGACCGTGGGATTCACCGCCTTGGATACGACACTCGTATGTGTTCATGCATACTCCCTCGCGTCGTTTGTCTTCGGACAGGCACTCTTCCGCAACCGGAACTGGAAAGAAGTTCAGCACTGCGAACAGAACGAAAATCGGATTACGTGGGAACGTTCGTTTATTTCGAATGCTCTCGCGACGACAATTTTCCAATTACTTGGTTTTTATTTAGATTTTTTCGCGGTTTCTTTAAACCGCGTATTGTTTCTATCTTTTTCTTTTTTTTTTTTTTTTGACCGCAAAAATAAAGCAGAGATTGAAATTGTCAGTTTCCAACAAAAAACAGTCAATGTAAATTGCAAATTGCAAATGCGGCAGATATATAATCAATGTGTCGTTACTCTCTCAAAGACGGAGGGAAAAAAAAACGAGCACGTGCCTCGATATCAACAAGAAGCGGAGCAAAAAACACAGGAAGATTACAGAAGATTACACCGTGACGGAAATCACCGTGGTTAAAGATTAGCAATTAGCGCGCTCGTGAAATGTCACTTAATTCTTGTTGCCGCAATTCACCACTTGTAAAGAAAGTAATTAAAACTACATCACGTGTAACAGAAGTTTGTTAGCGACTTCATTTGTTGGTGATTTAAATTTGTCTGATGATTCGGCCAACGGCCGAATAAAAATGACAACTTTGTTTTTTACGCGAGCACATCGCTTATTTAAAAATTGCGTTCTCGAGAATTCAGAAATTTGTGTGATTTTTCACAATTTTCTCTTATCACGTGTCGTCATCACACTCACCCCTGGAAAATCGAGTTTCGTCTGGTTTGACGAGAAGCTCGTTGAGCGGGAATTTGTTCGTTGCGCGACTCGACCAGAAACCCGGGATTGACCACTGATGTGCGATCTCCGGCAAGGAGAGCAGCACGCCGACGCTATACGGCGTGCACCAGATAGAGCACCATCTTCCCGCCGGCGGAAACGATGCTCCAGTTACCGTAATGATACACACGATGAATATCGCATGAAAACGTGAGAGCATAATCGCGCCCGAGGTCACCGATGCCCGCGAAATCGCATTCCCGATAGGTCCGGCGCGAAGGATCGCATCAACCGTGGACGGCCGTAGACTGAACCGTCAATGGGGACCACGCGGTAACAACGCGTTGGGACCCACGCATCTGGGCCTCTCTCGTCACACTTACCCGCCACGATATCCCTCCTGTACGGGGCTTTGATATGTTTTTTTTTGTAAGTAGGTTAATTTTTATCGAAGTAACAGGAGACACGCATAACGGGAATAACGGTCACACACGCTTTTGATCTAAACTATTGCGTATTCTGCAAGAGAAGAAAGATAAATTGCAAAATTGTATCAGCAACGAGATCAAGAATAGAAGTACGTTTTCAATTAAAAAAGCGCTTTATACTCTTGTTATTTATGTAAAACATCAATTAAAACGATGAGATGTCATTTCTCTCGTCCTTTTCGCGAAACCCCTTCGCACGCGCAACCAGAACGACTTGTTATCGACGCGCAATGTGTATGATTTTTCTTTTATACCAACAGCTGCAAAGTTTATTTCCCGAGTTAACATCAGACGATTCCTTGTCATTTGCGATGCTGATTTTTTTTCACAGAAAACGTTCCTTCGTGGCGAATTGAATGTAATTCGTCGTATAATATTTATTGATCATGTAATATTTAAGACTTGTTAGAACAACTGCCAGTGGCGTCCTTCGAGTATTCATACGTAAATGTGTGTGTGAATATTTCGATAATCTAGCACCAGAGAGAAATCGTTTTTCCGCTCTGTAAGCCAGCGCCAATGTCCACAAGTGGTGCACATTGGCAACTACGTAGCTATGTTCACAAACGACTTGTCGGTACGTACGTTATATGTTCATACGTGGACATGGTTCTATTCCGTGCTATGTGCACAAGTCTAGAGTCCCTGGAAATAAGAGTCTGGCCAATGTTTAATCTGAAACAAAATGGCGTCGATAATTACTATATATATCGTATTCTATATCGTATAAGGCCGATTTCCTTATATCTCCTGATAGCTATTCTTTGAAGAAATATATAAAAACATATATTGTATCTTATCTAAAACTTATTCAGAAGTGGAGAAATTGGACATAAAACCTATGATAGAAAAATAGGTATGTACAGACACTGTGCAACAAAAAATGACATTCTAACCTTCTGTTAGCAATTTGATAGAATAATTGCAAATTTATTTATGTGTTTGTTTTGCAGAAAATGACTGGTTGTTGCGTAGTTGGCTGTTTGAATTTGTTAATATTACTTTAAATTACCAATTTTATACGTAAAATAAGATATATATTCGGGCATTGGAGAAAAAGAAAGAAAGAGAAGATTATAAGAGCAAAAAATGCTACCACCATGAACAGGCATACTGTTATTTAAATCAAATTTAATGTGTGGCTATAACGTTATCCATTGGTTCCGCCATTTTGTTTCAGAACCAATGAAAAGTTTGACATTGGCCAGACTCTTAGGGCGATGTCCCATTGAGCGGAAATATATAGCGGAACGGAATGTGCGGAACCAGCTCGACCAATCATAGCCATTCCGTTTTCTTTCCTTCGCTTTTTCTATGGTTACGATTGGTCGAGCTGGTTCCGCACATTCCGTTCCGCTATAGATTTCCGCTCAATGGGACATCGCCCTTATTTCCAGGGACTCTAGGCGACACGTCTGAAGTTAGCTACTAGCAGTCCATATATTATATAGGCTGCGTTCGGGGTGCACGCTATCAGCGCTATTGCGTCATTCTATCTTTGTTTTACATCTAACGAGCAATAAAGATAGAATGATGCAACAGTGCTGATAGCGCGTTCCCCGAACGCAGCCATAGTCAAAGAGGGGCACATTTATCTGTAGTATATGTCACGTATACTATAGATAAATGTGCGCTTAAGCATGAAACGGATCGCAGCCAGGTTGATAAGGCGTTATAAGATTAGGTTAGGGTTAGGTTAGATTAGGTTAGGTTAGGTTATATTAAAATGATTAATATGTACGATTATTGTATTGGTTTTAAAATTTTTAATATTTAAGTCGACTATATATATGTTTGATCGTACATCTCAGTGTATTCTCAAAGCATTCACATTCGTCAAAGTTATTGTACAAGTTTAATCGGTTGGCATTTTTTTTACTTCCGGTAAATGCTTTATTGACGTCTTCTTCATTGCGCATGCGCAAGAATTGCGACTTCTCAAGCAATATTGTGCTGCAACCATTCGGTAAGCTGATTTACTTACATTGGTGCGTTTAGCACTTTAGATACAGTAAAGTGAAGATTGTCGTTAAAAACCTTGACACAACTCGGTAGAAACATCAACTGAGAAGATAACGTGATTTTTTTGAAGAAAGAATAGTGGTTTTACGTTGATGGATTTTCGTCACACGAAGATGGTATACAGGAGGCCGTTTCATCAATATGCACGACATACAGGAGAAACTTTTGTGTAATACATTTACGACCGTTAACTAGAGTTTGCGAAATAACAATGCAAAAAACAGATAACTATATGTCCAGTAGAAAACCACTTATATACAGGGTATAGTAAATTTCTGTTATGTACAGCTACTTTGTGCAAGTATGGTAAAGTGACATAATAAAAGCAAATAAGGGTTTTAGTACATCAAGTGGAAAATGGTAAGAACAAGCCTTATACTATGTGGATATATAAACAGATACTCTAAAGATCGTATATAACTTGGTAAAATATCTTTTGAAAATATTTTTGAATTGAAATGTGACAATATATGTATGTAATTTGGTCTATGTGACATATGGCAATATCTAATCCATGCTGGCTTCATGTTAAAATTTGCTGTTAGTGGTCCAGTACATTATATAGAAATCTATGATAGAAAAAAAAAAAAACAACAAAAGCAAGATTGTCATTAAATTCTCACCATCAGAAGAAACATTAGCAAAAAAACAAAACCTTATTTAAAAAAAGACACCTTGAAGACAATGGACATTCTACACATGAAGAATATACAACAGACTGCCATAAATCTGCAATAAGCACTGTAAGACAAAGTTTGTTTTATAGATTGTTTCAAAATGTTTCTCTTGTTTCTTGTCATAAATTATGAACATGAAACCATGTACATCTTTCTGTTGAAGGAACATTCTATATATAAGAATATTGAGACATTAAGTGTGTGTGTGTGTGTGTGTGTTTATGTGTGTATATGTGTATTTGTCAAGTTTCATACTTCAAGACCCCATAATACTACTATTATCTCTTTTTCTTTCTTTTGTCTTACTATCTCTATTTTTCTAAAAAAAAAAAGAAGAGAGAATATAAAAATATGGAAGAAAAAAAGAATATGTGTAATAAATACATATTAGTATTCTTATAAGAAAATTCAACATTTGTCAAATTGCAAGTTTTTATGTTTGATTTATTGCAAAGTATAAAACTTTGTCTCAAAAATTGCATCCATTTATTAAAATTATATTGCAGAGAATTCATATACCGCAAGAAAGTTACACAGGAAGATATTGTTATGGATAAAAAAATGATTTCCATATGTGAAAGTAACCAAAGTGCAAAAGAATGTTTACAAATTCATCAGGCGGAAGATGTCATAGTACGATCGCCAATGGAAAGTAACAACAAAATTGAAGATGTTTTTCCATGGTTATCAAAATTCAAGAGTCTTGTACATTCGTCCGCAGGAAGTAGAAATTATCACCATCTTGAAGAGTTACTTTATATCTACACACCGTAAGAAGGATTGTTATTTACATTAGTCAGAAAGATCTTACAAAATGTTTACATGTACATGTATAATATTAATAATTGCATATTTTAGGAATATTTCTTCTAGTTTGGCAATGAGCAATATCAAGTCTAATGATGCAGTAAATTTAAAGAATCATATTAATAATATGTTAATATTCTTTTATTTATATTGGCGCGATATAAAACAGGTATCGCGCACAGTTTCAGTCAGATTTTGCTAATTTGCGAAATTACATGTATGAAAGATATTCGATATACTTATTAACATGCATATATTTTCCATCTTTAGGACATAGATGATCATAGTTTGTATTTAAATAAAATGTCAACTTTGTTGAATGTGTACATAGATATGGAATTAAAAATTTCCACTTGTGATAAAGATTCTTCTAAAATTGCTGCAAAAATTCTTGCAGCATTGTATATATATTTGAGTAAGTTTTCCAACGAAAATTATTTCGTACAGATTGTCTTGTAACGGAGATGGATTGTATTGCGATATTAAATTTGTGTGTATTTCCAGATAACTCGGAAGAACATATTTTCAGGGTATTACTTAGAATTAAACATACAGACAAGAAAATTTGTAATTATATATTTACGTACGTAAAAAAAATTAAGTTTTTAAAGTGTTGCGTTATACTAAATTTGTACACTAGAAACTTTAATAGTATAAACAGTAATACTGAAGTAATACAAAAATATCATGTATTTCGCTACTTATAGGAAGAGCTTCACTTTTCTTAAAACAAAAACAACATCTATAACCGGTGTAACTTACGTCAGATATTTGCTTGCCTTCAAAATGTGGAAGAAAATGGAAAAAATTTCTGATGAAAGAATTAATGAATTAGCTATAATGATGTTAGGACCACGTATGCCGAATTTATGCGACGAATTACTGAAGTATATGCCTAAACCGCCTACGGATCAAGAAAATGAAACACTGTGGTTATTGCAATCAAATGTTAATCTAAAGCAACTTCATAAACATTTTCTGCTATTCGAAGATAAGAAAAATAATTCGGATTTGCAATGTCCTAAAATAATTCGTGCTGATCTGGGCTGTTTGAGATTACAGGTAATGTACATAATATTCGGTATAATTTCTTTGTTGGTAACGAATTGCTTCATAAGCGCTCTCGCGTGAGTAAAATAAAATATGTATCTTAATTACAAAGTAATGCTTTTTCTCGCAGAAACATCAGACTTCGTTGTTTGATTGGATCAACGGTAATGAAGATATTGATCAGGAAATAAACAAAGAATGTTCGAGCGGTATGCAAAACTGTAATATAATATCAAATAACAATGGAAACAAACGTTTGACTCAAACTTATCTACAAAGAAATGAAATAAAATGTTTGAAATCAAGAAATCAAGAGATTATAGATTTAACTGGAGACGATGAAGTAAACATTCCTAAAGTAAGAAAAAAGACTAAAAAAACTTTGATAAAAAAAAAGACTAGAAAAGAAAAAAAGAAAGATAAACAAAGAAATTTGGAATGTTTGAAGTTTATGGAGAGTATAATAAGAAACAAGAAGCGTGGTAAGAAACAAAATCATATCAGTTTTCCAATACGTACAAGTAGGGCTGATATTGAAAAATACTCGAAAAACGAAAGCAACAAAGTTCCTATGGATGGTACATCTATTTCCGAGAATAAAATCAACGATAGCACAGAGAGTTGTATTTTAAGTAACACTAGAGATTCGTCAAACGATACGTGTAATTTTCAAAAGAATAATTATTTAAATACAAAGAATCACCTCAACGTTATTTGTCCGAAACTTGCAAAAGATGATGAAAAACAACGCGGTTATAATTCACATTGCGTCAAGTTATCTTCGGTATTTGATCAAAATACCGAGGATTTGAAAGTTGCGGCCAATATATTGAAAGAAACTGAAGCGGAAAATTACGCTTCACATTTCACGTATATGACGGGAAATGCTGTTGGTTCATACAATAATCCGATGTTGCAAAGTAAAGAAACACTAACTCCTCGGGAAGAAAATATCACGGAAACAACTATGTTCAAGATGTGCCAAAACAATATCGCGGATCAACATCTCTTTAGAGATGTTCCTCTCAAACAAAAGTTATCGACAACGAGTACAGATTGTAGCGTAATGCAAAAAAGTTGTTGGGAAACAATGCTGATAAAAAACTTAAAATCCATTAATGATCATAGCTCGCAGCTTACGGAGATGATAGAGCAGAAAGTCTGCCACCAAGTTAACGAGTGTCCAAATTGTTGTGCAAAAATCGATCGTAAACCTTTTTTGTTTACCAACACTAACGTCACCGAGTCAAAAGTACAAGAAACACTTCGTAATACGTTTAATGAGAACAAGAACGATGTCAAGCTGGCCTGTAATACGAATATAATTTACATCGGTAACAATTGTGTTTGCGTTGTAAATCATATCGGTGAACAGGTCATGGGTGTACACGCCGAAAAGAGAATGGATAAGTCCAATGATGCGTGCACTGTATCGACTACGTTTACTGGTGATCAAATTGTAGAGTCTCCGTTATGCAGTCACCGTGTCAATTTCGACAATGTGACGATAAACGATTATGGCAATACCGCTAAATATTCCGAGATGAACAAGAAAGAACAAAAAGAGAGCGATTGCGACTCTTCGACGATAAACGATAAATTACACCCGGAAACCTGTATATTCGATATCAATTCTTCCGAAATCAGTTCGAACGTGGAAGTCGATTGCGAACAAAAAAATTTTCCGAAAACAGAAGAAACTGATAAAATAACCAAGACTGGCTGTATAGACGATTTAGTTCATATTAGTGTCTTAAATAACATACAAAGCGAAACTTTGGAGGATTTTTCCCACCAATCTTCTGCAATATCTCAAATTAATTTTGACAATTTAATTAGTACTTCAACCAAAAGACCACGTATGTATACCGACTGCGATATTACCGAGGTAAAAACACAAGATACTTTGCGTAATATGTTTAACAAACAAGGCATTAAATCACCAAATGGTGATACAAATATAAGCGACAGTAATAAATACGTTTACGTTGTGAATCATACCGGTGAACAGGTTATAACTACAAATGCCGAACAGAGAAGACAATATCTGAACAATTCCACCATATGTGATGTCTCGACCACGGTCATCGGAGATCATATTATGGGATCGTTGGATGATCATGTTATTTCTGACAATAGAAGAAAACACAATTTCATAGATGACTTCGAATATTTCAAAGCTACAATGAAGGAACAACATAAAAGTGATTGCGACACCTCGATATCGAACGATCAGTTACATTCCTCCGAGTTGCACACATATGATAGCGATTCTTTCGATATAGATTCAAAAAAGGCTAACGAGATAATGAATACCGATTATATAGATTTCAGTTTCTCAAACGATGATTCAATTGTCACAAATCTAGAACATATTTTATCGAACACACGTTTCTCGCCACCTTTGGATCAATCTTCGTTTGAATTGGATAGTTTCTATACGGATACAGTTGTGGACGATAACGATATCCTGTGCAACACCCAAAACCATGCCATTGATAGCAGCGTAGACCCGATAACTTTCTGTTCAAATAACGATAATACCTTCCTGCGGTTGTCTGTGAAGTCCGATAAACTTATGTTAGTAAATAGAAGTAAATTTTATTTTATCGCAGATTTAAGTTTCTTTGTTAATTAATCTAAATATGTGGTTCTTTTCAGGTTACAAGAAACTGTGGAAGAATCTTGATAAGTTGTGCAATCATGTTTTAACCGAACATCTTTACGTTTGTAAAACAGAAGATGTTGAAGATTTTCATGTTTTGAAAAATAGACTAAATCGAAATTTGAGTATATATTAAATTTGCACCTTTGAGAACATTCCATTAAATTCGCTAAAAACTTGCTTATCATCACTAGGAAAAGATTCTCCACATCATATTGTATAAAAATTTATATTTTCAACGAATGATTCTGATGGTCTTCGGTAAAATGTCAAACAAGACAGTTAATCAAAAATATGAATCGCACTTCTACTAACGTGCACATTATCGGATGTAACTAAATTATTTACCGAAAAAGTACTTGCGAAGAAAGAAGTAGCATCAACAAAAAAAGTGTTCAAATGGAGAAAAATCTCTCAAATTTTGTTAAATCAAGTTTTTAAGAATATATGAAACGATTGATAAGTATCCAAAACTACGCAAAAATAGCCACATTAGTATCACATTGCATTCCGTTGTCGTTGACGAGTTCATTCGTCAGAAGAACAAATGTCACATGCTGGCTCATTATCACGTCGTGTGACAGGTCGCCGAAGTAAACGTTCTCGGTGAGTTTTGAGACAATGTATCACCTTATACTTCAACTGTTACAGTGGTTAAAATTTACGACAATGTATCAACTCACACTTCAACTGTTACAATGGTTAAAATTTACTAAATTTAAAATTTAGACCTCGAATTGCTGTTTCATTCGCTATAACATATTCGCCGGATATGGCCCGTGCGATTTCCATACTTATGTATTTGTAAATCTGAAAAAATGGCTCGATGAAAAGAAACTTTCGAGGAACAATAAAGTCATCGATGCCGTAATGACTATTTTGAAGAATTCGAGAACGTACGTTTCAACCCTATAAATTGTTATTTAGATTTTTTGGTTCAGATATTTATCAATTGTCTCGTATATTTTAAAAACACTTTTGAACCTATTAACTTGAACGTACTGTCAACAAATCACCGTAAAGAGATCTGTCTTAACATCGTATAAGATATACACGACGAACAATTTTAATAACAATTTAATGAAAACTGAAATTATATGACGAGAAAAAGAGATTATAAATGATACCGTATAGATATATTACAAGTTACTAAATATCAAGAAATAGAGACTACCAGATATACATTATCACCGACTGAAGAAGCATCTGAGAAGATATACAAAGAATCACAAAACTACGATTTCGTCTCTTGATACAAATGTCTAACAGTATAGAATACTATATTAACGGTATAAAATAGTTAAAAAGACAAGTTACTTTGACTGCAACAAAAGGTAACGTAATGTTTAAAAATATTTATTTTCTATATAAATTTTGATATAAGTTATTTCTAGTTTTGTACAATTGTTAAACATTGCACACACGGAAGAATATCAAGATATCGTCATGTTCAAAGATTATTTATTTACATATCGAAGATAAAACTGCAGTTAAATATCATTTCACAATTGTATATGCCGATTTTCTGTTGTTCATTATATTAATTACATGGCATGTTACAGTCCAATCATTTATATAATTATACTGATATCTTATTTGCAGAATTTATGTTTGCAGAAGAGAATAAAAAAGGATAATATAGTAGGTGAGTATAACGTGCATTGTTGCATAGATTTAGTGTCTTTAAAATTTGTCATCTTATATAAAACTAGATTTGAAAAAAGACGTAAAGTTTATTTCTTCTCGTTATGGGGCCTTTAGATCTTCATGCCCTTTAAAGAAATTATATTTACCGTTATTTATATTTGTGCGTTACAGCGTGATAGACTGTCGTTTATGATCTTGAAGAAGTCGCCAATTTTTAACTTCTTGCATAATATATGTATGCGCTAAAAAAAAGTTCGTAACTCGATGAGATAACTGATTGAAATTTAAACACACAATACAAATCATTCATCGTAATAGTTAGCGAGTTATCGATACGGCTAAAGTTATCGATACCATCTCACACACAACTTATACAATTATTCAGATATAATCAATAAAATTATCTGTATAATGACAGCTTTTCTAAGTTACGCTTCGTTATAATTATAAATTATCATATTATATGATAAATACTTGGAAAAACAAACTTGTATATTATGTATGTGTACATGCGTGTATGTTACTTTATAGTGCTTTGCATTTAAATATTAAGTAACTACATAAATAATANGATTGAAAAGCACGTTTTGAAAAGTATAAGAGTATATAATACTATATACTTTAGTGATAGATCTCATCTATATTAGGTGAANTACTACAAACTTCTCAAAGTACTGATATTGCTGAAGTAGATTTGATAGAAAAACACACCTGGGCAAAAGAGATCCTCTCACCACGCANATTATTTATATTAAAACAAAATAGAATATTTTAATTTTTTAGATTAGGCGAGAAAGTTTTAGAATGATTATATTATATTAAAAGTAATAAATACAAGTATACAAAGTAAGAATATAAAAATATAAAAATTCACGTTTGAAGACTAAGTAACTAGGACTTAGTTTCCAATATTGTGTGCGCATACGTTATCTTATTTTTTAAAATAATTTAATCACATACCAGCGGAAATAATACACAATAGCAGAGACAACACTAAATCTCTAAATAATGATTCGTTTGTGCGTTTATTGCTGTTTGGCAATAAAAAACAATATATGTACTCTTATATAATTTATTTTTTATTACATTTTTCTCTATATGTAAGAATCGAGTCATAATTTGCACCAAGTTTTATTTGGCTATTATAACATTATTTTAATTGTATATACAATATGTTCATAGGAACAAACAANCCCTAAGTATTTATATTCATAAATTTATTTTGCACATATGTATTATTCTTAGACAAAACTTGGATTTTATTGTATCTAGTCGATGAAATTGATAAGTCTTTATTATGGAAAGAATCTTTTATAACACACATTTTATATAAAGATTTTTATCTGTTATATATTCTTTACCAATATATATCTAATACAGAGACTGANTTTATAATATCTCGTCATGGTTTTTACAAAGTAGAAGTTATTAATAAAGTNTTAATTTATTATTAAAATATTTTTGAGTTGAAGTTATGTTGACTTATTACGCAATTACAATTATGACATCACAAGATTGCTGTTGAACACAATAATAATATCTGTTTTATATAAACAGTTATTTGCTTTTTACACACACACACACATATATATATATATATATATATATATATATATTTATAAATAGGTAATGTACAGTTATTACCTTTTATAGACGAACACACGCTTATTTTCGCTGAGTTTTATAAATTAATATCTCATTAAATATTGCGAAATTTGCAAAATGTAAAGAACTTTTGACTGAATTCGCTCTATATTCTGTCCACAAGAGATGTTACGGTTATTACCAAACACTATATATATATATATATATATATAATATACATATATCAACTCTAAGAAGACAAGTTTTCATAAAATGCGAGTTTATAAACTTCCTTTTCTTAATTCAATGGTCTCATGCAAAAATAATATTTAAAAAATTTAATTATTGCAATAAAACAATGGATAAACATTTACTTACGTTGCAAAATTTGCTTGTTGAGATTGATTCTGAGACGTACTAGAAGATGAACTTAACATTGATCCAATTAACCAAAGGAGTTATACATTCCTCTTTTTTATATTTTTATTTGTAGATTATAAATTTTACAAAATAAACTTGTGATTTTTTAAATGCTTGCCATGTATTGCACTTGCATAAATAGTCTCTTTATATTAAAAATTTTGAATATTTTTAAGATGCATNAAGTACAAATATTTTGAGATTTGTTTGCATATTTTCGCAAAATAACACGTAATGGTTATATACACTAGATCTGCTAATTTAAATATGGTATTCTGTTATCCGAGTATTATTAGTTTTATATTATTATATTTTAAACATATATGCCCTTACGAAAAAGAACTACTGGCAGTAATATATTGCGGCAGTGGTACGAAAAAATTACTGGGATTCTGTGTAATTGCCAGTAATATTCTCAGTGATTCCTGTAATATCTAATAATATTCTTATGTGATTGTCAGTAATATTTATATTACTGACTTTATTTATATGTAATCGGCAGTAGTTCTTTTTCGTAAGGGTGTGTATATACAGGGTGTCAAATCAAGTTCGAATTTATATAGTATGATCAGGGGGTCGAGTAGAGATGAAAATAATTTATGTAAAACTTGCGTCCAAAATTATATCGAAGAGTTGGAAGACAAAAAAATTCCCAAACAAAAGTGCTAAAAAAGTTATTTTCCAAAATATACAAGTGAGAATTTACCTGTTGAACCTTGTATACAGCATTCTTTAAAGTCTCGATGATTTATTGCCAACAATTAGTCCCGGTGATTCATCGTCAACAATTGACGATTCTACATGTACAAAATTTGTGTAGCGCAATGATTTCTTAACAGACANCAGTTCGATTCATAAAGAATACTTGTCTGCCGATATATAAAAGTTTTTGACTTATAATTACTTAATGAAGCATTGTCAGGCATACAAGTTCCTATATAAACACTTTCTCNTGATGACCCTCTTAACACACTATGTAATTTAGTTCTGATTGTTCTGAGCAACAACTACTGTATAAATTACAAAAGAAAATATATTTTCGAAAGTGTGTTTTGTGTGCGCGTGAAAATAAATACACACACATATAATAATAAATATAAATTTTAGTATAATAACAACATTTTTCTATAAAAATACTTGTGAGTAAAGATATTCCACCGCTTACACACACACACACACACGCACGCACGCGCGCACACACACACACACACACACACACACGCACACGCACACACGCACTCATGCACAAAAAATAACAATCTCTTTATTTTGCAGAATTGAAAATAAAATTATATATTCTACTCAAATAACAATTTCTTTAATTAAGAGAGTCAACGTGAATAAACTTTAATAAACTTATTTTACTTGTGTTATATTGTATTTATTACATATTGTCTTGTATATACATTGTCAGGCAGTCTTATATATCCGTACCTCTGTNTTTGCAAACTTATAGCAAAATGTTACTCGCGCGCGTATAATTTTAAGTTTGTGTAGTATGTAAGACTATAGATCTATATTTTCTTTTAACTTTTATATATACACATTCATACAACCTACACATATATATATACAAAAAATTGTATATATTGTATAACTATATATTTGATTAAAAAAAAGATTGTAAATTCTCTTTTTATAACAAAAGTTTGAAATTGTAAACTCAAAAATTGTCATTCTTTTGTCTCAATTATAACTTTGGTTTTCTTCAGTGAAAATTTACTATAAAAGAGAAGCATAATATTTCACTTAGTTTTTTCGTACTGTTTTGTACGTGTGTGTGTGACTTTAAATCTTTTTTTATTTTGTGTGTGTGTGTGTGTGTAATCTCTCTTAATATCGTTTATATATTTCGAAATATCTCTGTATGCTGTTAAATTAGTCGAAATACGAGGTTATTTATACATAAGTACTTTCAAAGGCATGTAATATATTTTTTAATTTAATAGAGATTTAAATTTCTATGTATAAAAAGTTAAAATTTGAAATGAAATTGTGTTGTTTATATATTAAGTTCCACTAGCTATGAAGTGTGCAACAAATAATGAATCACTTTTTCATATCGATTGTGTTCTGTGTTTTATTAAA